GTACCTGTTGGAATTTATCAACTTCTGTAGCCGTTCTTTCATTGGATCTCTTCGGCCCAATGTTAGCTATTTGTTCGCGAATGTTCGGATGATAAACGAGCACTAAGTCGTGGGATCTGAAAATGGATGCAACCTAACAAAAGATGTCTTCAAATATTTGAATATAGGTAAAAATGAAGGCAAGTAATTTTTTGAGTTTGAATTTTTTTATTCTCGATTTTCATATGTTTGCGCTTTAATAACGAAAATGTACTTAGTTGCTTCGACAACAATCTTTGCAATGCGCTCGTCAGAGAACGACAACCCATCCTTTCTCGGTGGAATACAAAGATGAGGTGCTGGTACCCAATCCACCTAAGAACGAGTAATTTAGTAGGAGTAAACGCAGTTTAGCTTCTCGATAGACTTACTTTGCACTCTGGAAAAAAGAACATCGCAACGGATGCTTTAGCTTCTGTGGCTGTCACATAAATAGGATCTGTCATCCACCAGTCACTGAAAAGTTCAAATATCAAATAAACTAATTTGAGCACTGCTAAAAAGTGATTCCTTCTAGAACAAAACCTTTTACTGAAATCTGATTCCTGCGAAAAGTTTAGAAACTCTTGTCCACTTCTCCAGTTGAATACGAAATCGCTCATCATACCATGTTTTCGAGGGAGAACACCTTGAGCATAAAATGGATTTATGGTAGTAGTAAAAGAAATTAATCTTCATTAGTTCTCAACTGAAATCTACTGAATTTTAACATATAAGGCGGTCCAAACAACGGATGTTCACTTGAAATTAAGAGAGCTACTTAACATGGTAAACCAATTGGAAATTCAAGCAGATTCTTGAAAAAAATTCTACTTTCCTGTGTAGTTATTTGCTTTGATTTTTCCCTGATTTGTAGTGAGACGCTCACCTGTCATCAACGTATGTCGATTAGGCAAGGGAAATGTGGGAAAAACAGGAAATAGCCTAGTTGACCATACACCTTCTTCCTCGAATACTCTCAAGCCAGATAGATGAGAAAAGCGGTGAAAATACGCTCCGCTAAGTCCTTCGGCTAAAAAAGGGGACATGTGTCAAACTTATTTCATTTCCCCATATTAATTAAGGTCATAATTAGGAACTTTAGAACTTTAAAC